GAGTAAACTGAAAATTAGTGACGGAATTAAAAAAAATCAGTTAATCTTATCCAACAATTTTTCCAGCGTTGATTAGAGGACCCCTTTATATTGTGCAAGTAAAACAAAAAAAAAATTAAAGTAAAAAAAAATAATTTTAAAATTACAAGGGATTATGGTCTTGTTTTAAAATTTCTGATAGCTTTTTTTTTGAATGTTCCTCTAGTTTTTAAAGCACGCATTGGTGGAGGCAGATCGTTCCAGCAGCGAGAAGCTGCGTACCTTAAGGAATAGAATAGAAATAGACATCCTGTATGTATAATATTTATGCAGTCTCGTAAAATGTTACCTCCTTTTGGAGCAGTCGGATAAATACACGTCGGACTTCGTATGGCTGTATAATAACATCAACTATGTTTTTTGTCTAGTTTTTATATACTTATATTAAGTACCTATATAAAATACCTAGCGCGGCGATATGCGTGAAAAGTGTCTTCCGCCTCCTAAACCTGGTAGATATGGCAAATCCTTTCTACTGTGAGAGAAGACCATGTGCAACATTTTTTCAACATTTCTTTTTTTTATTTCAACATTTCAGTGTTGTCTTGAGCAAACGTAGTTATTGGGAGCACTACACTCAAAATTTTTGACGAGTATGTTCTTAAAGGACAAATTGGCCGAGTTAAATGCGTCGATTGACCTACCTAGTCAATCGACCCATTCAACTTAGCTGGACAGCGTTCGGGAATATGACACATCTCGTCACGTATAGGTTTTCTTAATAATATAACGGTGGCAAACGAGCACACGGTCCACCTGATGGTAAGTGGTTGCAGTGGTCCATAGACATCTACATACTCAATACGAACAATCTCACCCGTGAGGACTAAGATGGAATGTCGCGTCTCCATTAAAAAGGGACAGCAGTGTTAAGCTGCTATTTGACGCTGGTATTCTGTTAGAGCGTGGTCCTTTCCCGGTCGAGCCGACCCGTTCGTGCTACAACTGAACCAGTAATATAGCTGCAGCATGGCTCTACCACGTAAAACAAAGATTTACGGTAGATAACTGTGAAGGATGTCTTCAGAGAGCACGAGGGAGCTGTGACAGTAAGCACCTGAACACGTCAAGCAAGTTTTGCACAACAACAAGCTTCGCGTCCCGCGCCTACGTCACAGTGAATGACTGAAACCAACCACAGTCGAGCGTGTGCCTGCTGTACTGCCATATGTCAGAGGTGTCACTAACAAGATTGGCTACATCTTGAAGCGTGCTTCCATTAAAACTTACTTCAAGCCGCCGAAGAAGATTAGTCAGTTTTACCATCAGTCAAGTGTAATGTCCCTCTGCAAGATGCAGGAGTGCAAAAGCTTGATTGCGAATGTGGTCTCTTATACATAGGACAAACAAAAGCGCAATAAAAACCCGCGTTAAATTACACATAACTGATGTGAAGAATCGACGCTCCGGGAAGTCTGCCGTTTGTGAACAAGTAAAGGATCGCCCCCGTCACTACTTCAGATTTGATAGACCACAAATCCTCGCTAAAAACACCGATTCCTTCCAAGAATGAATCGCGAGACTGTTGAAATAAAAAAAATGCTAATTGCAATAGAGAAGGTGGCTGGGTGCTACCATCTGCTTGGGATCCTATAATTAATAAAATTAAATCCCAACCCAAGCATACAACTGCAAGAATTCAAGGTTCTATAAGTTCATACTGCGTAGATTGGAACAAAAATTAATAATTTTAATCTGGAGGTAACCGTGGTTGACTACGACATTGGGACACCTCAGTCCCCTCGCCTCGTGACCATGGGCGCTGTAAAGTACTCGAAACGTCAGGAATATAAAATAAGTTAATATACGCGATATAATCCGTCAAAACTAGTTTTATTTAAATGTATAGTGTTCGCGTAAATATAAGAAATCATTATGTAAACTCAAGGTTGGTCAGCTAGCTATGGAGAGGGCTAAATTATTCTGAACGCAGTACAACCAAAGTAACCAATATAGTCCAATAGATCACTAACGTGAAATGACTATTGGTTGGCCATATAGCTCAAAGAACAAACAACCGGTGGCGAAGGTAGGTTCTCGACTAGATGGAGTAACGACCTGGTAAGAGATGCAAGAAGTCGATGGACGCAGGTGGCTCAGGAGTCTCAGGTTTATGCTTTGTGGCGTTCCTCAATGAAGACCTATGTTTAACACTAGATTTTGTGAAGGGCTGTAATAGGGATAATTGTTTTATTTTGGCAACCAATTATGGATACACAATTTATAACAATGGAGGGGCTTCCTAAGTTTGTTATTAACTTTGCGTGCTCATGAGTTTAAAAAGAGAAAGAGTAAGTACACTGCAAATAAAAATAAGATCTATTCTTAGATTACGTTCGGGACATATTCCATGGAACACGTTTGCTTTTTTAAAGAAAAAAGGGCCATCATCAAATTGCGACGTATGCGGAATAGTTGAAAATGTCCAACATATTTTGATGGAATGTGTCCAGAATGAATCATATAGAATGTTGTGGTTTGGTAGTGATAGGAATTTTCACAATGGCAACTTGCACAGTATTTTGGCTTATCCAGTGTCGGAGTGGGCCAAAATGCTGGTCAAGCTAGCAGACTTGATTCTGTGTAAGGGAATAGTTGCGATTGTTTGTAGTCGCACGTGTTCCTTGAACTTAATTTGACTATAAAACATTTTATGTAATTAAGTAGTATGTAAATAAGTAAGTAGTCTGAACAGAACGATGTGATCGCTTAGCTAGACAAAGTCCTTTATATAAAAAAGTACACTGCAAAAATTTATGAACAAGCCTAATAAGATCAATTATACGGTTTTATAAGAATTTTACCACAGCTTTATTACAAGTTTTGAAAATTAAAGTTATAATGGTTGTTAACTAACTTTGAATCTGTATATATACTAAGTGGTCATTCAAAATTTAAAATTATTACACAAAAAGGTGGTTTTCAACAGTGGTGATACCTGACTTGACAAAGTTCGTCAACTTTCATTATTTCTTTTTCACAATATGGCGTTTGGTTGTTGCCATATTGAATTTAGATTACTGTCGTGTCTTTAGCGACACACAAAATTAATACAATTGGATGGACGAAAGAATCGCCAAAATCGGCCCACGCGTTTGTTTAGCCTCTAGAGTACCACAAAGGGACAAACATAATAATTTGTAGGCTGTTAAACACATTACCCTCCTCTGCGTCGCTAGTCGGCTAAAAAGAAACAACGTTTACTTCCATATTCTTTATTTGTATTCAACAACACGTCACACGTTACAAATACGGTTACGCTTCGAAGCTCACCACTGAGCCATAACTTCATAATCCGAAAGATAATCAATAGTTTTACAATACAAGACAATACAAGAGCCCCTGACACACATGCTGCGTATTGAATGTTCATAATTCATAATTATAAATAAATCACATTCATAGATCACTTGATGATTTTAAACAACGATGAACACTATATAAAACTATACATAATTTCCAAGTATCTAATATATTTAAATATATCAAGTAGCGCCACCTATGGCCTGCATTTACATCCAACATTAATAATATGTTAACAAATTCACTGTCCCATGAGTCATATATATGAATATTTCAATTGTTTAACTATTGTGTTATTTTTGCGGACAGGGAAGTTGTTCATATTGTCTTCTTAATCTTCTTTCTTAATCTTTTCTCTTTTATTTAGCTTAACGCATCCCTGTTACCTAGCATCGGACTTAAGGTGTTGTGGCCCCACTGCAACCAAGAATGAACTGAATCATTTCTTGTTTGGTTTTTTTTCGCTTACAACGTCAGGTGGGTTTTCTCCTGTTGTTGCAGTTATTCATACGCGGCGATCGTCACCATTAGGTGAGCCACATGCTCGTTTGCCCCCTTCTCTATAAAAAAGGAAAAGTCTTATTTTTAAAAATAAGACTTTTTGTTTGTTTAGACAAACAAAACACTTTTGACAGATATTTTATGTAAGGTAAGTATATAAACTTATACATTTTGCACGCTATTTTTCAACCATTTTCCATAACAAAACTAATAGTTAAAACAGTCGTTAAGTAAGACTCGACTGCATAAAATATTTTATTTTATATCCTACGTCACTGCAATAACTGACACGAATCGACACCCCATGTGCTAAAATCCATCAAGATATTTAAGCTACAGAGCGTGCTAAAAATAGTCATACATACACCCGATAAACATTATCCTCCTTTTGGTGCTGTCGGGTAAAAATAAGCTTATGTTGACACTCTAGCTACCTTGTTACCCTCACGTTAATCCTGCCCATGTAATCATAACCATGCATATTTTTATAGATACAAATAATCTGCTACAGATTTTTGACATATCTGTGCGTAATTAAATATAATAGAATACAATATTTAAATATTACATACAACATATTATATTATATTATATTTCTAGCTTTTCACTATAAACCTCAGATGGTTAACAGACACTATCAAAACAAGAATAATATTCTAAAGACTAAAGTTAAGAATAACGGTGGTAATTATGATTGTAATCCTAATAGTAAGATATAAATGAAACAAACCCTGATAAAAACCAAATGATAATAAACCCCAAGTATAGAAAACCGATTACAAGTATACGTTACAATAGTTTGTAATAGTCCTGGGTCTATTGGAGTTTTTAACTATTGTAATTTACTTAAAATATGCATAAAATATGTTCTATATCAGTCAAAATATGTTCTTATCCAAAACTATTTACTGTGAAATAAACTTATTTGAATGCAACTTTCTCTTTGAAACTTATGTTCCGCTTTCAGTAAATTTAATAATCCTTAATAACATTCAAATTTTTTGTAATTTATTTTTGCTTAGAATAAGTTGCCAGTGTAAAATATTTAAACGAATACTTGAGTTTATTACTGGATTATTTATTTGGATTACTGAGCTCAAAGTATTGCATATTAACATGCAATACTAACAAAACTATCATAATCTCCATCTTCGAGGTTACTTGACCGGCTTTGGCACCATCTCTTCTTTTTCCTCTTGATCCGGTATGTAATAATGCAGTTCATAGGCGGGGGAAAGTTCTACGGTAATGTTATCGCAGTTGGGGTCATACGGCTGCCGGTAAGCGTAACCAGATTCAGTATCCGTTGGATTGTAAAGACCTTTTAGAAACGATCTAGAAGTAGCAATGGCCTCGCCGTGTTCCGCCGTGTTTACGTGCACAACACTATTATTGTATCGAACCGGAATATTGGCGTTGTAACGCGCTTCGTTGTGATTAAAATTATCTACAAATCTGTCTAGGACATCCTTCTGGAACTTTGCGTCATAGTCGTAATTTTCGTTTACATTCATTTTAACTTTGGGTTTTGTTTGTGCAATTAGATCGCTTATTGTTATACCTCTCAAAGGTGTTTCAGTGTAGGGTATGTAATCTACATCTCTATCATAGTCGTAATCTTTAGCAGCTTGTTCAAGAACATCCTTATAATTCCTAATTACATATGAAGCTCTATTAAAACCTTGATTGTTATAACTAACTCCATACGCACTGTTTCGATCAGTAGTTATCCGCGGGAGTTCAGTGAGATAAAGGTTTTTGTTAAATGCATTTGATTTATATATACTTGGTAATCCAAACGGCAGTAAATTATGACTGGACTTTAAAATATTTCGTTCCTCATTGTATCTCGAATGATATTTGTCTTGTAGGGCATTTGTTTCTTTCGTGCTAGTTACATATAATGTGTCCTGTGGGGAAGGAGTATTTTCCATATTAGACTTGTATTTTCTTTCAAATTCGTTAACAAATCTATCAGATTTGGTTTTATGAACATCAAGAGGTGGAAAATATTGTAGTGTAGGCTTTCTTTCTGACATATATTGATTTAAGGACTTCGTGAATTGATATGTTAAAGGAGATGTAGCGAAGGGTTTGTCTGTCATATGAAGAGGAACTGTAAATTTTTTCAATTCTAACTTTGCTAATTCTAAATATTCTGGCTCATCATCATCATTATCGGAAATATCATAGTAATCGATGACATTGAAATATTTTTTTCCTTTTCCCGTCGTTACTGGTTCATATTTCACTTTTTTATTGGTGTCAGTTTCTTTTGTTGTACTATATTTTTTAGTAGAATCTTCAGATGGAATTGTAGGCGTTGTAACGGTGGTGACTGCATCTGATTGAATAGTTGTATCTGTTGTTATTGTACTTGTTATAGTTGTAGATACAACAGGTAAAGTTGATTTACTAGGAGTAAACAACGCGTCTGATACTGCTTCTGGTAGTTGTGTGATGGTTGTGGTTTCTGACATGTTTTCTGTCGTGGTAAAGTGAGCTTTTGGAGTACTAATTATTTCTTCTGAACTGTTACTTTCCTCATAGTCCGTATAAATAATATTACCAAATAGATTTGCCTTCTTATTCTTCGATTTTCTTTTCTGAGCCATTTTCTCTAATCTTTCTCTTAGATCAGGTACATAAATGTTACTATCTCTGCTCAATATATTACTCCATTCGGTCTCTGTCTTATTTTTTAAGACTTGAGTGAAAGGTTTTGAAGAATTCTTCGGTTTGAAAACAATCCCCATTGAACTAATACTTACGTTTCTCCAACTGTTATCATCCGGATCTCTTACAAATGGCTTAGGGGGTTGAACTTCAATTTTCTTCATCGGTTTGTAATTTGGATTAACTGTATATAGAATAGTGCTTTTTATCTTATCCTGAATTGGTTTAACATTTAATTTGTTTTCAGTGCTAGTGATATCAACCTGTGTTGTCAATTCGAAGTTGCGGGTTGGCTGTGTTGTGTCACTACTATATGGTTCTAAAGTTGAGAATGTAGTGTTAGTACTATTGAAACGTTCTTCACGATGTTGTTCAGTAATTTCCTTGTTATTATTAAGCGAGGTCTCTTGAAGCAGTTCCTCCTTAATCGCATCCTCCTTCTGGAAAATAATAATTAAACAATAGTTATTGATTTACAAGTAAAGTAATAATATTTTAAAATTACATCATTTTACTTACTAAATAATTTTGCGATTCTGATCCTAATCCTACATTGTTAGTACCAGCATGCTCTCCTTGGAACGTCTCTAATATAGGAGTCGTATAATAATCACTATTTATTATTGAATCAGTTGGGTATATCACATTTGTTGTAACTTCTTCCAATTGTTTTGATTTTAATGAAAAATTTAAAAAACCGCCTCTCTTTGATGATACTGATTCAAATTTAAATTTTTGCGTTAATTCTTCATCAGATTTTGTTAAAATATTCAGTTTTTGTGTTACAGGCATATTTTGATAGTTAAGAGTACTAGATAAATATTCAGACGCTGAAATAGCTTCTGTCGATATCCGTTCATCTTTTTTTATTTGTTCTACCGCATCTGAGGTAATCGAATCCTTCAAAGTTACACGGGTTTCTGCTTTGACCGTTTCTTCTCGTTCCGCATTAATTGTAGTGGCAGGTAATTCAGTTGTTGTAGTCACTTTTTTCCTTTCTATAACGGTGTATCTATTTCCATATGGTAAAACAGTATCTGTGTAACGGTTCTCAGTGGTAATCGACCTAGGAAGTTCGGATGCGTGTTCTGATTCTGACGATATTTCCAAATACTTATTTGTAGTCATGGCTACGTTGTCCAATTGCGTTATATCTGTTTTTAATTTCGTGTCATCTGAAACACTGCTTTTCTTGTAATCGGAAACGTCAAAAGATAATGTCTTTGAAGTAGCTATCTCTTTCAGTTGTGATACGCTTTTCGATGGTAAAAACATGTGTGCTGTTGTTTTATCATTATTTAAATTCTCTGTTAATTCCTGATAAACAAAACTGTTGACACTAGAATTTAAAGTATCATTACTTGTTACGCCACTAACAGTATCAATTACGTGTCCTTTTAATTCATCTGTGGGATGATGCGCTACGTCAAACAATTTGGCTGTGGTCAAGACTTCTACATCTTTTATGTTTTCATTTGTAGCGGTAGTTGAAAGTTCATTACTTTTGTTAGAAATATTTACACTAATACCATTTAGCCGTTTAAGATCATGTCGTACTTCTAATTGCAAACTTTCCGCTACTGAAAGATCTTGCAGGGAGTCATGGGTAGCGTTAAAGACTTTTTTAATTGCAAACGCATTGACTGTATTAACACTAAACAATAACACTGCCAGGTATTGCACGAACGATCTGAAATAAGAACACATTTTTTTATTAATATTCAATGCATATTATATAAAACAGTTTTAAAAGCATTATATAACTGCTATTGCCGATATGTGATAGATATTTACATAAAAATGCTAATAAAATATTCGCTGACAAGAATAAATTTAGCTTAATTGAATAATTTATTTTATTATTTTTCTCTTAGTTTTAGAACTGTGAACTGTTTTTTAAATTAAAAATTCATCAATATACCGTAATTCGGTATCTTTTCTTTTCACATTTTTGGCACAACCGCTACTTTGGTAAACGCTTCCGTGATTGCAGTACAGTTAAAGTACTTCGGAAGTACACTGTTCTGTTCTAACGTCAGTTAGTACTAAATCTATGGTACTGTACTTATAACCTAGCTTAATAAGACGTGATTACATCGTCACCTGTCAAGATGTTCCGGCCGCTTCATTAATTAGTCGACTTTTGCTACATCTACGGGACTAGGTGGTGATAGTATCTCAATTTAATCCTCCAGTTCCTTTTTCTCATAGGAGTCTGGGATTATCACTTGTGCTGGTTGCCATGAGTCAGTAAGACAGTTGGTACAGTTACGGCTTGTTACTCAATTCGTCTTAGTCCTTGTGAATAACAACGCATCTGAAGACTTCTGTGTTTTATGTTAGCGGCAGGTGTGCATAGATTAGAGTAGTCATTTATCATCAGATCGAACACCTGTGGCCAAATGATCTTATACGTGGTAGAGCCGTGCTGTAGTTATATTATGGTTGTAGCTTTTTTTTTGTCTGGAAAAATAAGGTATAACAGGTGAACGGAATAAAAGTCTATGGCACTGATATTTTAAGACGTTTTTTCTTTTACATTAACATGTTATAAAATTGATCTATCAATAAATACTACCAATTGGGTGCGTATTATTACAATATCGATAGTTTTTAATTGATTTATTTATTTAGTACAACATTTTTGTTTTTATTTCTTTAGTACCGAAAGTATATTTTAAATGAGTAGTATTTATCGATAGATCAATTTCATAATATGTAAATGTAAAAGAAAAACATTGTAAAATATCAGTGCCATAGGATGCTATTCCGTTCAGCTGTTACCATCCTATTTTTTCCAGACGGTAGAAAAGATCTTCAAGTATATACTATAATATATAATACCAGCGTAAAATTACGGCTTAATGCCGCTATTTATCGTATGGTGAGTAGAAAACCGGAGACCCTTTTTACTGGAAACGAGGTATTCCATCTAAGACCTGAAGGGTAACAATGCATCTGCATTTTGATTCCTAATCGAGGATAGATGTAGATGTCTATGAGCTACAGCATCCACTTACGATCTGGGGGACTGTGTGCTCCTTTGTCATACACTATAAAAACTTCATAGAAATAAGGCTACAGATGATTTGTCACTAAAATGGATGCCTCGCAGCCTGCAATCATAATAGCGTTCTATATCTATTTGCGACTATTTGGGGTTTAGATAGAGGTAGAGGGTGGAACTTCTAGATAGACGAACGTCTAGAAAGGTCCTATATATAAATACCACATATAAGCTGTTAAATCAGTTGCCCTACAATATTATTAATAGGAAATGGGTGATGTTTTTAAATGAATTATTATATAATAGCATATGAATGAAAATAACTTTTCCAACAATATAAACGTCTTGTCGGCGGTACGATAATATAGATATTATCAAACATCTACACCGTAACGTGCGTCCTGCTAGTCACATTGTACCACTTTGTTTACATAATACACCTAGTTAACGTGATTGCCCTTTGAACTAACCATGTGTATCATTTCCGTTCAATGTCTTATTGAATTATATATATATAAATTACGTGTCACGTTGTTTGTCCGTGATGGACTCCTGAACTACTTAACCGATTTTAATCAAATTTGCACACCGTGTGCAGTTTGGTCCAACTTGAGAGATAGGATAGTTTTTTTGCCCATGAGTGACCCACATTTTTTTGCGAATTTAAGGATTTTTAATAGGACATGACAAAGGGTCGTCGAAAAAGGCAGAACAACGTCTGCCTGGCTAGCTAGTATAATATATTTATTATAAGCAATCATACAATTAATTGAGGAAGCTTTTATTAAAGCAAACTAAAAGAAACAGATATAATTACAACTAACAATTTTCCATGCACTGTAAAAGAAACGTTGCTAAAATATCAGACACGCTGTTCATGAACACATTCTGCAATTTGATCGTTTCAGACACAAAAATAAAAAAAATACATAATATATGGGATCTTTGTACGTGATACGTGGTACGAATGGATCGGCTCGACCGTGGAAGGACCACGCTCACACAGAATACCAGCTTAAAGCTAAATGCTTAAAAAATATTAGCTTAATGCTGCTGTGATTCACATGGTCATGGCCACAGCATTTCATTTCAGTTCTCAGGGGTGACAATGCATCTGTATTTTGATTCCTAATCGAGAATAGATGTTGCTGTCTATGACCCATAGCATCAACTTACCACCAAGTGAACTGTGCGCCCGTTTCTATAAAAAAATTACTACTTTTACCACCTGGCTTAATTAATTACTGTTAATCTTATTTTAGGGTGAGTGTGAGTGAGAGAAACCTAATAATTTAAATTTGTCAACATTTTGGGAACACAAACAATTTTACCACTAACTGTATCAATTTAAATACTGAACTTTCTATCATACAGTGGGTATGAAAATGCGCGAATGTATTAAATTAAATAATCGCCTAACTTTTTGTCGGAGTTCGTGCATGCGTGCTATTTTTACAAGACAGACATATTCTAAAAGTACCTACAAAGTTGATAATTGTCTGAATAATTCGCGAAGCTATCAAAAAAGATACCAGCCACCTTCATTTTTCACCATTCTAATTTCAACTGAGTGCTGTAACTGAGTTACTATCTGAGATCCTGTAATTACTAAAATTATATCCAAACCCGAGAACAGAATAACAAGACTTCAAGATACAGTACGGTCATTCTGCGTAGATCGATTAACTACGATATAAGGCGTCAAACACCTCAGTTTCAGACCAAAATTTAAAAAAAAAACTTACATTACATGTATTCTAGCTGGTTTTTTGATTATCAGATAAAAGCTTATATAATCACATAATTTGTAACCCGACTGAAATAAAAGTGTAACAATTGAACTATTTTATTTATACAACTGTAATTCTAAATATGTTTGTGTTGTATATTATCCTATGAATTACTTTTATCATTGAAAATATAATCGCATTACATCATCATTATCGGTACAGCCTATTAAAAGTTTTCCATAGTTGCCACACGCTTGACAGTGGTTGGTAACCGCAAGTATTTATTTGCTAAATATTATTAAAAATGCTGCTGCGTCTGCTAATTAATTTCCGTCCGTCACCTCAAACGATACCCTCTGAACGATATGTACACTACACCTGGAATCAAAAAGATATTATTGTTCAAATCGTTCATACGTAGTATCGAATTATGTTGTTATTAGATAATTTAATAATTTTTTTTCTGTATTTCCCGCGATTACATCGACATCCTTCCGTTTGCCTGTTATTTCCGCTTATGTTGAAAAATAATATTTTTACGGTTCTAATCCAAATATTCGATGTATACAGATCACATAGGCGGAATTGGCGGGAAGCTAGTTTGCCTTCCTTCGGGAACCCGTGCATTCTGGTCTCTCACTAAGGCTGTCCAAGGGAACTTCTCTCAGTCATCTCTTCCATCTCTGCACAGAGAGGAGGACTCATTGGCCCATGCAAAGGAGAAAGCCGACCTGGTAGGCTCTCTCTTTGCGTTCAACACGACCCTCGTTGACGGGGGCAACAGTCCGCCGACCATCCCGCGGTATGAGTGCTCCATGCCAGATGTGTGGTTTACACAGCGCTTGATTCGCAAAGCACTCTTCTCCCTGGACGTCAGCAAGTCGAGTGGGTCTGATGGAGTCGCTCGCATTGTGCTGAAGACGTGTGCTTCGGAGTCGGCATCGGTTTTAACGCGTCTTTTTCGGTACTCCTACTTCCAAGGCGTAGTCCCGAATTCTTAAAGACAGCTTTTGTCCACCCGATCCATATAACACTATAATACATACATAAAAAGAACGGGGAGTGGGCAGAACCCGTGTAGCCACTAACATGTCACTAACAACTAACATGTTAAATCACACTTATAAATGTCACCACAATCAACCGTTTCCAATTTTCGTGTCAAGCGTCACTGCATGCAAATTATTTAAAAAATGGCAAATTGTGCAATAATTACGTGTCGAAAGAACAGTGGGAATTTAAATAAATGAGACATATTCTACAACCAGTAAATCTAAACTAAGAAACAAGAAAAAAAAACTTTTATTAATGTTTTTGACGCAGAAACATTTATGTGTCAAAAACATTAATCAAAAGTCTATAATGTGTTTGTAGTACTGATAAATGACAATACGACGTAACTGCTTGTATATGTGCTCCCGGCGACGCCAATCCTCCTACAAAATAAGGTTGACAGCCATTCTATTGTGTATTATAGTATTCGATGACCCGATACCTAAAAAAGGCGACCGCTCAGACCCGTCCAACTACAGTCCTATCGCCATCACCTCCTTGTTCTCCAAAATAATGGAGTTTATTGTAAATCGATGACCCGATCCCTAAAAAAGACGACCGCTTAGACCCGTCCAACTACAGGCCTATCGCCATCACCTCCTTGTTCTCCAAAATAATGGAGTCTATTGTAAACTGCCAGCTCATGAGGTACCTTGAGGACCACCAGCTGATCAGTGACAGCCAATACGGTATCCGTCGTGGTCGATCAGCTGGTGATCTTTTGGTCTATCTTGCTCATAGATGGGCGGAGGCAGTAGGGTCCAAGGGGGAGTTTGGCATTGGCCGTTAGTTTGGACATAGCGAAGGCTTTGATCGGGTCTGACACAAAGCGCTTCTTTCGAACATCCCTTCTTATGGGCTTCCCGAGAAATTGCGCTATTGGATCACTAGTCTTCTTGC